GATTCAGTGGGTAATAGCGATAGCGGTAGCGGACTAGCGGAAGTCTTTTCGCTAGCGGAATAGCGATAGCGCGCCCAACACTGCTTTTACACCTTCTTTCTCTGACTTTTTATTCTTCCTTTCCCTTCTCGCTTCCTCTTGTGTTTCTAATTTCTTCTCCCCTCCAACGGGGTGCCCCCTGCGTCCTTGGCTACGCTACTGCTTGACACGCATAGCCATCATTGAATATTCATCTTTTTTCAATCGTTCAATTATGATTTTTTTATTTTTTTTTTCAAATTGTAGCACCGACATTAAATTAGGATTCTTTAGGAATCCTAATGATCGTCGAGAAAATGTTCTAGAGGATCATTAGGATTCTTTTAATTTATCTGAACAGTCCCGTGAAAACTGATTAGAAGCTCTCTGCGTGTTCCGCCAAAATAATTGCAGTGCTTGCTCAACGTTCAACAATCACCCTCATCAAGTAACCGAACTTTCAGGGATAGTTTCTTCGTTCTAGAAATATTGACTTCTTCATCAGTGGTTCAGTTTCCAACAAAATGTTCGTCCCCTAATCTATTGCTTGTTATCTTATGCACTTAACTGCAACATTTGAAGAATTTGCAACAAGTCTCTCCAATCAATTTCTTAGATGCACAACTGCCATGATCAATTGTTGCGATATTAAGTAGGCGAAGAGTAGGCTGACCGATACAACTGACTTTATCAAGAATATAACGTAAGCAGCATTCGTTTATAGATGCTAGTCGATTTCGTTGTTGAATCGCTGCTTTTGAGCTTTGTAGAGAAATGATTAGCAACGTATTGAAAGGAAGGGAAAACTGATCGTTCAGATTGACTGATCTAAATGAATTTCAAAGAATCGCATATATACATAGCACTGTCGTGTAATTGTGTTCGCATGATTTCCTTCAAACAATATGAATCTGCTTGTAAAGCCAATGCGCACTTCGTGTGAAAACATTCAACAACAACTAATAAATTAGAGCCTGTCTATTCAGACATAACATTGACTACCTACCATTTTCACATAATGAGCAAATAGCCTCTTTCCTCGCTTCGACAATTTCTTGCACGCTTACTACTTATGGATTCAAATTTCGAACAATACATTAGTGGCACAACTGCATGAACTTATAAAACAAGTTAGGATCATTTCATTTCATTCGGTGAAATACCCAGCGAAACACTTGTGGTATATCAAACACCATTTTTTGAAACCATTCCTAGTCGAGTTGACAGACAAGGCATACATCAGCAATGAATTTTTCATTAATTGAAAACCGTTGTCGGTCGCATAATAAAGTTTTCACATGATCTCTTTTTCTGTTTTCGATTGCTCATTCATGGGATCTTTTGAGTGAGTGCTCATGCTCTGACCGTTGTTTACTAACCATAGCATCGCGAGAACAATTCTCAACAAAATCCCGTTCCATTCGTAAATATTCGCAATTTAATGGAATCGGTGCTAACTGAGCTAGTCAAGCAAAATAATAAATATTAACGAATGAGTGAAGATTCAAAACAGTGTACTTAATTAAGTCATCGAAATCTTTCTGAATGATCTATTGGGAGGAATGTTCGCAATTCGTCAAAGCACTCACGAGGAAATTTTCGTTCTGATGCTTGCTGGCAAAAGTTTAGTTGAAAAGAATATAATGCAGAGACATTTTCTGATCATATTTAATCCCGTTAGACTACGTCAAGTTGACGGCAAAAGAGAGTGGATTGTTTATTCGGTAAACAAATACTCTGATATTGAACATTTTAGCTAATAAATGATCTCTAATTGCGATTTTATCTAATGAAACTATGGCTGTTGGGTAAGTAATGCGAATTGAAATATATCCTCAGAAGATATGCCTATTTGAATGAGTGATATTCTCCTGTGACTAAAAGCTGTAAGCAGTAACCAATCGAAAGGCTAAATGATCGATCCAATTCCGTTATTTGAAAAAGATCTACTTAACTCCCTGTTATAGGAATGCTATTGTCTCATCCTCACGCACACATTTCACGATATGTCAAATCTTGAGTTAATTCGACGTAACCATAAAACCAATCACATTTGAACCATCCAAAAAAGCCAGTTCGTGGTGTGGCGTAAAACTGATCTACGAGCAGAGGATAGTTTCCGAGTACGCCAAAGAAAGTCACATATTTACGTTGAGGTAGATCATAAACGTTTTTTATCGCAAATACAATTCTTCTTTTACCCGAACAAGTGCGAGTGTTAAAATAATTTTGGACTGTTTGGTAATATATTTGAGCGGTATGATCAGATAAGTATGAGAGATTCATTTCTAATCAATTTGACCTCAGCAGTATGTCCATCCGTATACGCTACCCTATACTCGAGATTCACAGCAGCAATTCGAGAAATATGTGAATTATTCAGCGTTTCCTACGTTAGCAGCAGCATGCAAAAGAGCCCCAAGGGTGAATTCATTCTGTTCAATTTCGTATACCTATTAGCACACATCAAGAGCAAATCCGCATCGCATATTTTGCTCATGAATTCTAAAATTTATGAGTTAGCCAACTCGACCGCTCAGTTACCTAATCTATGCATTAAAAGCAATCATTACCATCAATAACATACATAAACTCACGAATCCATAAAAATTTCACTCATCGATTCCAAAAGAACTCCCTCCCTTCTTCAATAAAACGATATTCTGCTGCGACAGTGAAGCTCAGTTGCAGGCAAAATCTTGTTCGAGCGTCATCAGGAAGCAAACAAGTAAATCAGCTCAACTCAGCCAACTGTAAACAAGAGAACTACCGTCGAAATAAGGACAACATTTAAAATTCGATCGTAGGGTCATGTGAATGTTGCGCAGTAATCGCAGTCCGAGGCCCTTAACTGAGCATAGTATTATAAGTTCACTGAGCACTCTGTTGATCGATTCAGAATTGTTTTTCTTTTGCGAACGATACCTTTTTGGTATTGGTGAAAACCGATTTCACGGCAATATGCATATGAGTTCGTTGAACGATAATCGAATCAATGAGCACAACTCGTTCATTCACTATTGACTGATCGTACCTCGAGCTGTTCTTCGTTTGAACGATTATTTCCTGAAATCACTCATTTAATTCATCAGCCTACTGATTATCATCATTGCCCTGATCGATTAAGGAAATTGTACCAACAAAGATGCAGAATAATTCATTTGTAAGAAAACGCTTGCAGGGATTCCATCAAACATTCCTGAATAATGCAACAACACCTCTTAAACAAAAAAGAGCAGAAACGTCGCTAATTCTGTCACCGAATTGCATTCCGATGGAAGCGCCTAACAACATCTCTCTCACAGCGATGAAACTTTAATTCAGATCGCTGCTGATTTACCATTATTTCAATATTGACGCGATCACCCTTGTCATACTGTTATCATGACTATGATTATTCTTGCCGAAATAGCATTCTGTAAATTGGCCAGTGTTTAAGTGTTCTTATCATCATTAACTGCTTTCAAATATCAATGCTGATACCAAGCACTAATTCAGTTCATCGCATTATACATTCACTTTATGCAATAATCGAGCCCGGCAAATTTACTGATGAAACGATACTGAGCATAAACAATTTCAAACGATAAACGAAACAAATTTCAGTTGAAACAAGTTGACGCAGCACTCTTCAAATGTCAACCGAATATTTCTTTTTCTTTTTTCAATCACTTTTTAATTCGTTCAAAATGACACTTTCGTTAACACTGCATCTTATAAACAATTCATTCAATTGGTTTTTCATGACAAGCACAAGGAAAGCTTTCCACTGAGTAAACTATTGACAGACACTTCAGTGAGGATTCTCGCCTCTCAACTGTCTTCTATTTGTTATCCAATGAAATTCAATGCGTATTTCCGAAGCTGTGCAATATAATTTTATGTGTTGAAACCAAACGAGAAAGTTGACGATTGCGACATCCTGTGCGTGATCGAGCGGCTCAAGACATTACCGAGACACTCACGAAATCTTGCGATATTATTTCCGATGAAAATTCAAACAATTATACCTGTTTTGTTGCCAAATCCCTTGAAGAGTTGTCGATGAAAAACAGTCTGTACAAAATTCGAATCGCAAACCATGTGCCTGGCGTGAGACCATCGAATGAGAACAACTGAACAAAAAAATCATCTTCATTGCTCGTACTCATAACGAAATTATTGTGCTATCGCAGCGGTTCTCACGTTCGGGTGCTCCATTATTCCTTTTAATGATCTGGCAGGCCGCCGTCACCCTCCCTCTCCCCTTATACAGAAATTTACCGGTTCCACGTATAACGTCATGAACAAACGGAAAACCAGTCCGGAAGTTTCTCAGCGGCGTGAAAGAAACTAGTTTTCTGATTGCTCGAAAAGCTATTGTCTAGGCAATTAAAACTGATTTTTAGATGGATTCTCATTCTTTTCTGACGTGTTGTATTTACTCTTATAGCTATTACATATGAATGCCGCTCTTTTGATGAGTTTTTTCCATTTACTTTGTCTCGTTTCACTTCACAGTTCGAATCAATAACTCATTCTGTAACATATACTATTTACTGGTTACGTTGACGAGTGTTGACAGCCGAAATCAACAATATAGCAGTCGAATATTATTGCTCAACAACGTTCGACAGTCAAATGATCAATTATAGATAAAATGAGAATTTGACTTTAATTGTTGAGTTAAATGAATGAGAAATTAGCAAAAGAGAATACTTTTGGTGATAAAAGCTATGAGAGTGATTGTAGCAGCAAGAAAAAGAATGAAAAGAATGTTAGGCCTGGATGAGCTAATAACACATGAGAAAATAGGAGAATGGAGAGTGTTGCCATCAAATAACCGTATTTACACACCCGAGTTTTAAAAAAACACCATCACAATGGCGTTTTATCATAACATAACAGCTGCACGAAATACTAATTTCTCAACTCCCTCTATTACCCCTTGACACCTCCAAATGGGTAATTTCACCCCCTATGAGAGCCACTGTGCTCTCGCTAATGCGAATGATGCATAAGAAAACGCGAACAGAATCAATGACAAACAATGTGATTATATTACATCATTTCATCTCGTTTGTGTTACGCTCAAAACTTGGACATGGAAATGATTGATGCAAAGCGTTGATTTGGGGTTGAGCTCATAGCAACAACCAAGCAATTAAATATCAGCCAAGAGCAATAGTATTGATTATAATTGATCAAATATGTTCTTTCAAGCAGTCCGTCGCGCAATTAACGGAATATTGTTGTCATTTACGATTAATGTGCCCTCTAATCGAACAAATTCGATAATCATCGCAGAACAACAAACAATTACGTATGTATGCATATATATATACAAACGAGTGAATGAATTAAGGAATAAATCGTAGTAACGTTTGATGAATACCAACAGCGATCAATCCAAATCTCGTTAAGATGAAACGAAGCTCTAAGGAATCCTACTGTAAACGAGTAACTTCTTTCGTTCTCCTTCCGACAAATATCAAACCTCCAATATGTTTGTTGTTCGTTGCATCTTCCTGTTCCGTTCATACCACTTAACTCATAACATCTTTCATGGTGCTGATCAAGGTTTGGCACTTCACTTGATGCAAAGGAGCAGATGATACTCACTTCAATAAAACTTGATGCAAAGCGCTGATATGGTGGGGAATACCTCTTGCACTCTAAGAGCCAGTTCCAATTCCACAGAATCCCTGTGAAATTTTCGAATATCCCCAGCACTGAGATTAGCATTTGATCAATCAGTACCTGATCACTTCGAGATGCAGTGAGTTCAGTCTGTCGAAAAGGAACTCGGTGATCGATGTCGAAGATATGTACAACCATTTCAAATTTGCTGACGTTCAACGCTTTCACCATGCGAATCACCACTGAATTCATTGATACTGAAGTGATCTGAAGTAAATCAATCAAACTAAGTAAGTGAGCAATAAATCAAATAACTGAAGCAGTATATGCAATTCCCATTTTCATACCATGATTTTAATATAATATTACCTTGAATATTCCCTTCGGATTATGACTGCTGGCAACTTTATATTTTTTCTAAGACGATTTTAACCAAAAAATGAATCTTCATTACCGTTGATCGAAACAGTCCAAACGTATCAAAGACCAAATGCTCATCAGCTGATCACGATCATTAAAATCATGACCAACTACATGAGTGATGCTTTCACTGATAGTTGAATTGCTACGAGATAGATAAACACTTCACTTGTTCAATGTTTCTGTCATTCACCTAACAATCATTGCGTAAACATTTGCAAACATAATTAAGTGTTTTCTTGTACGATCACAATAATGAACGAAGCAATAGTCATTTGCATAATTTGTTAATATCGCTGAGGACTGGTCGATTGATTCATATCATCCGTCACCCTCACCATAAATGAATCGCGCTCTCTTCCTTTTTCTCCAACGTTTTGTTGTCACACAATTGGTTGGGTAACCTTATCAAAGTCCTATGTTTTAATTTGTCACTAGTTCCGCGGAATTTCGAACCACATTTCAGTATGGAGTCGAACATTTGAAAAGTGATTCAAAGAAGTGATCTATGGATACATGAGGGAGCAAGAGAGTGTGAAAAATAGCAAGTGCAGGTGAGAAGTGTTGAGCGTGGATTTTTCTTGACAGTTTGGATTCTTGATTTTGAGCGTAGTACAATCAGCCCAAATCACTTCATGATTACAGTTCGTTACCGTAGAAGAATTCGCTGATTTTTCTATATTTATTGATTTGCTACTTTTAAGCTTGACGACGAAACAATTCGAAATCAAAGTGAACCGATCGTTTCAGAGATAATTTATTTGCATTCAGTCCTATATTAGTACATCAGAGCGCATTAGTGCATCAGTGTTGTTCAGGATATCGATTCTATTCGAGCGTTTTCAAATGCTTTCGCGACAAAAAAAGGAGAATCGGAAGAAAGCAAAATGTTCAATCAATTCGACTTAATTTCGACAATTCAGATAAATTTCCTTTCAAAAAAATCGTCATTGTTAGTAATTCCTTTCACACTGAATTATCCCACTCCTCAGCTAATGTGTTCGGTTGCCGCAACGATACGATTCATCTTGATGGAAGAGAGGATATAAGTTTATGGGATGAATTGTCATAACAAATCTCTTCAGAACGTTTATCATCGATGGCAGCAAAAGCAGATAAATTATCTCTGAAGCGATCGGTTCACTTTGATTTTGAATCGTTTTGTCATCAAGTTTTAAAAAAACGAATCAATGAATGCAGATAAAAGAACGAAACGTTCTACGGGATGTTTCTCATCAGATCACTAAAATCTTTTATCATTTCAGCCATATCTTTCAATCCGTATTAAGCGTACAACACTGATTCGCAGGATGCAAAATTCTGGGGGATATGAAAAGTATAAACCATGCTCATTTTAAAAACATTATAAAGATTGTGTTGCAAATGACAATATCGCAATTTGGCGGAGATGTTCATGAATGCAATATTAGCATGAAGAAATATCCAAATTTCACTGAAAATAGTTCGTCTCGAATGACATTTTGTGTATTTGTACAGAAAAGCATCATGTTACATTCACACAACACAATTCATAATAGTAGAACATGCAATCATACATTCATAAGTCATCATTCATTCTGAACAATTCACATTTTTGAAGAACCCCTCGCAAAAACGAATAACACTCACAGTCAACAATATATCTACATTCATACATCAAACCTTTCAATAATTAATGAACTGCATTCTGATGACGAATATGACAAACAATAAGACTTTGTGCATGCATCAAATCCCCAATTTTCTGGATCTCTGAATAGTCTTTCTTCTTTTAAAATTTACGATTCCCTTACTGCGATAGTCTATTTCAAACCTGTCATTAACATTTATCACTTCTTTCCGTTCATTGTTCCCCAATATCTGGGAAACATGACGTCCATAATCTGTCAGCTATGCATTTGATACCCACGTATGAACCGGAACACTTCATATTTCAGCGCATAATGACCACTGCAGTGAGCGAAAAATGCCATTAAAGTTCAATCAATTATTAGAATTCGGCGAGAATTTTGGTATCAGTCGGTGAGTCTCAACAAGCCTCAGATCTACAGCTAAGTCAATGAATCGCTTGAGACATTGCCCGCGAATGGAAGAATACTCTGACGTCAGTGAACTACGTAAGAGGAATATGGCTGATGAGATCTCGACGGAGAATTTTGATAAATGCAGAAACCCAAAATTTCTTAAATACACATGCGATTCTTCATAAGGTCACATTTATATACATATAAAATAGATTAATTCGACAGAACTTATATTCTCGAGAAGAGATTTTTTGCATGCATTTATCGCCTAATGAATCGAGATGTGGTGGCACACTCTGCCAGAATCGGCTACATTCTTGAACTCATACGTTCGGAGCTAAGTATTCGGGCAAGACTTAATTTGAGCATGAAAGGAATTCCAACGAACGAACTGCGAGTTCCGTCCCTCGAATTTTGGTGGTAACCAAGTTTGTGCAGCATATTTTCGTCATTCACTTTGTTTCATTGCGAAATCAATAATTAGATGAACCAAGCGAAAAGATAACACAGGAAAATTCAATTGATTCGGCACACAATTTGCATTATTCCAACAAATTTAGTTGATGTGAATACGGAGAAATGCGCTTTCATTCATTCGCTCACGCACTCAAATTAATTTGTGTCATCTACCATAAACTTCCCTTTTCACGATCTGATTATGAGTTTCTGTTTAATTAAATCGTTTGAAAAAATGCGAAGATCGACATTTTTTGTTCAATGATAATTAACTCACATTTTTCCAACAAACACATACGTACACAGCAGTTCAAGCAATTATTGTTACACAATCATTGTAATTATTGCTATTTTTGTGGCACCAATAATACACTACAGTTATTCTGCGCATCTTTTTCGTAACATCCATCAATACTGAATTCATCAACATCGCCGTTATTGTCATAATCAATTGTCCATATGAACTTCTTATTAGCATACCACGCACGGTATCTGTTTAAAAATTTCTACCCACTGTTCTGTTAACGTTCTCTTGACCATTGTCACATGATGAAATGCGTATATCAAGCATTGAACATTTAGAAAATCCCGCAGAAGAATCCAAAATTTTGATGAAATTTTCTGAAGAATGA